TCATAATATATGATGTCATTTGTTTACGTTAAGATATTTCGTAGAAAATATGTACATCTCCGACAAGAATCGAACCTTTAACTCTTATTGTGAACCATCACTTTATGTGCTGCTAACCATTCAGTTACAAAAAAGCGTCTCGTTAGCAAAGTCCGAATTTCTTCGACGATTTTTATCGATCGATCATGTATTTGTGATTCATTCTGACTGAATGGTTAACAGCACATCAGATCAAATGATGGTTCTCATTAATGATTCGATTCCTGTCGGAGAAGCTCATATTTTCTACGAAATTTTAGGCTGGTACATGTAATTAATACTGTTAATTAAAAACAGAGCATTTACTTAAATAAATTATATCTATGAAGATAACGTATAAACGGAATATATATTAGGTTGGTGCAAAAATAATTTCGTTTCTAACATATATGTTAGTTACTATGTGAGAAAACGAAATTATTTTTGCACTCAACTAATATATATATATATATATATATATATATATATATATATATATATATATATATATATATATATATATAAATATATATATATAAAAAAAGAAAGAACAGTAAGATATAAAATCCGGTGTTCTTATAGATATTTTTATTCTTACAAAATAGTGCTCAATGTAAATTTACAGAGCATTAACTGATACAATGATACTGACATAAGGAAAATCTAGATATCCTTTTGTTCAATTTAAGTAGAATATTCTGTAAACCATAGAAACGTGATTTTAGCTGTGTCTTTTAAAACCCGGTAATTTTTAAAAGTTACTCCAAAATTCGCTTGAAGATGAAATGGAACTAATGCTTTTAATTTAATTGCAAAATTAAATTCGGGGTTTTTAGCTTCTATTTTGAAACATGGTTGGAACTGTGTAGCGGAAAAAAAACATATTTTAAATCAATTATAATATTATATATATATATATATATATATATATATATATATATATAGGTAAAACAGGTAAAAATAGATGTTGATAGATTTTATTTATGTCAGTGTCCATTTTCAACCGTCGTGTTGATCTGTACCCGACTCCACCCCAACACCAATAGGTCCCTTACCTCTCTATATCTATATAACTACTTCCTCTATTTTAGGCCAATTCTTACACCGTTTCCTTTTATTCTTTCTTTTTTCTTTTATTCTTCTTTCTTTCTTTCGCCTTCTGTGAAGAAGAGCGATATTTAGTTTTACTATTTGCATTGATAGGTCCAGGGAAAAACTACTTTTTCATGGACGAAATGATCATCTGCATGAGGTAAATTGTCTGGCTGTCATTAATTGTAATTCACCTATATAGTGGACTCTCCCGTCGTATTCGACGTATGAGGATCAAGCTCAGTTCGTAGGAACCGACATCCCAGACACCAGCACATATGATTTGATTATAGTGGTGAAGGCTTTCTGCGAAACCAACCACTACGTATCACACAAGGTCCCAAACGACCCTCCGCAGGGTTTGAATTCAGAGTTGTCCTTCTCTCAGACCAGTTGCCATTCACGCCTATAGAACCCAGTCTGTCCTGCTATTTACACATAGCTAGAGAGAGAAGAAGAGGATAAATATTTTTCCCAAGGATATTAGCACGTCATGTATTCGACTGGAATCCGAACTCGGCTCCCCGATTCATCAATCCGAGCCGCTATCCAGTAATCCTAATATATATATATATATATATATATATATATATATATATATTATCATTGTTAATGCTTACTTTCTTGTTATTGAACATTAATTACAAAAACTGTTTGACTTCCAATGAACTACATCCGACAGCATGGCCTTTGATCAGGAGGTTTTGAGGAGCGTGGAACCACCTTTTAATTGCTGGTGTTCCCAGGTTCTCCCTGACCAGGGGTGGTAGCACCTGTTAGGGTCCCAACTATGGGCAAATAGTTAACTCTCCTGAAGGGGTAAAAGCACTATGAAAGAATAAAAAAAGGTTTTAGTACCAGTAATAAATTTTTGAGAAAAATATTATCAGCCATACATTTTTTGAATAAAAAAAATATTATCAGCAATAAAAATCTTGTCGACATTTAGGTTGATATGACGTAAAACAAACCAAACGAAACCAAACTGTTTGGCTTCCAGAATTACCATAGTTGACCTTTTTGTGAGAGGGGGTCGAAACCCAGTCATTGTTATTGCACTCACTCACTCACTCACTCACTCACTCACTCACCGTCTGTCTATCTTCACCCCTCTCTCTCCCCCTTTCTCTCTCTCTCTCTCTCTCTCTCTCTCTATATATATATATATATATATATATATATATATATATATATAACTTGAAATGCTATTTTAGTGGATACACGTATGTGAGTAGACGCTCGGTTTATTTATCAAACAGTATATTTATTTTCACCTATCGGCCTAAATGTTCGAGAAACCTTATTAAAAATTCTTTTAGATCAGTTGGTTAGAGCGTATCGGATTTAATGATAGCTCCCTTTGCTCAGAGGAACGCAACGAGTATCGACTATAAATAAGGATTAATGTGATAAAAATCTATCGGATTAATAAAAGAAGTTCATTACTTTTCTAAAATAATATATATATATATATATATATATATATATATATATATATATATATATATATATATATATTATGTATGCATTTATGTGTGTGTGTGTGTGTGTGAATGAATTATTCGAGAAAGGATGCAACGCCTTTGAGGAGGAATATCCCAGGTATGCTCAGATCAGGCAAAATAATATGCTGTCTTGGAAATGTAGTGTACGTGAGGGCATCTTATGTAAACTATCTGAGAGGTTATCGCAACAACCAGTATCAAGCCTATTATGCCAATTCACCTCATTGTCCTGCCGACAATACCCGAATTGTTTGCAAATCATCATCTGGATTGAGAAGACACATGGTGGTACATAGAAGAGGTATAGAACATGCAAATCTAATCAACCCAATCAGGGATACAGTTTTTCTCTCATATATGTCTAATACCTATAAAAGACCGGTCTCAAGAGCCATTTTCGTGGCTATAGACGCTGAAACGAGACGGAAGACATCACAAGAAATGGGGCTGAGGAATCGGGTCTCTTCTGAATAAAATGTGGCAATCACCATGAATAAATAAAGGCTAGACTACTTAGATTTTAAGGCTTGTTATTATTTTTTATCTCATATTTTCATCCTATTTTTGTTGCATTGCTCAGTAAGGCAGGTCGATTTGAAAACTCTGGTATGGCAATCAATTTGAAAGTTGGGGTTTCACACGATAAATAAAGACACAGAATATTTTTTCCAAATCGTTACCGTTTCTATGAGGAGATGAGTTTAAAAATTAAGTTCAAGTTTGAAGCTTTGGAATTTCATTCCGGTGATCAGTGAAAGCCATACACCACAATCTTATAAAATCTGTAATTACTGAAGCTTTACAAACTGTATATGGATGCAAGACACACACACACACATTAGTACGAAATCATTGCGCCATCAAATAAAGCCTTTTATTACTTCCATGTTAAACTTCCAACTAAATTTATTGCGTTCACTTTCGCACAAGTGATATTGGCCAAAACATACATTCCTCACTTCTACGCCACATCTATGGGCTAAATACCAGGTAGATTGGGCTCTCTAGATTTTGGCGGGAAAAATCTAAGAGAAGGATTAATATGGGAGATGTATGAAGAGATCAATTCATGCCTTTTCCAAGAGCTATAGTGCGAAAGTGTATGCAACAGACTAGGATAATTACCTCAGAGTACATCGCAATAAAGCATAAGTGCTTCTATTTGGTTGGGATAGAAATTTTGTCGCATATTGATGTTGACTGACGTATTTTTTTTTGCTCTTAGAAATGTTAAAGGTTAATAATACTGTCAAAATCCGGAAGTTATTCCACCTTCATTGATTATTTATTTATTTATTTTGCGTTCTCTGTGGACAGCAAGGAGATAACTTCCGGTTGTCTTGTAATCAGTTTTATAATGACTTCCACAGACAGAGGTTCAAATCTTGTCGGAAGAGTTTTTTTTTATTTTTATTTTCAGTTCACTCTGCTTAACGGTCGTGAGGTTAATGGAACTGTGGCGTTAGAATTGCGATAAAAATGCAACAAAAATAAATCGAGACTATTGTACCGCCTTCCACAAAAATAAGAAGGAAGAAAGTCGAATAAAAAAGGAATATCTGATACTACTACTACTACTACTACTTCTATTAGTAGTCGTAGTATTATTAGGATAACAAAGATGATAGAAAATATTAGGTTGGTGCAAAAATAATGACGTAATAATGTCGTTTTTTGACGTTAAAAATACGTCAAAAAACGATATTATTGCGTCATTATTTTTGCACCAACCTAATAATAATTGGTCAATCATACATAATCGTAACAGTGAGTCATTCAAGACATAAGGACTATTGTTACTAGGACTAGTATTAGGATGGTGCAAAAATAATGACGTAATAATGTCGTTTTTTGAGGTTAAAAATAAGTCACAAAACGAAATTATTACGTCATTATTTTTGCACCAACCAGTATCAGTACAAGATAAAAAAATTCATAATCATGACAATACTTCTGGTTAAGCATATCTTGTCTTGTTCTTTTTAATCAAACACGAAGAACAATCTACACCCACTGATTAAATAAAGGGTTCAGTACAAAATTCCCTGAACATTATCCGGATCGACAATGACCTGAAGAAAGCCGGAGAGTGCAGCAACCGAAATGTTTTTTTTTTCATTGATTGAATCGTTTTCTACGGCTTATCAATCCTTTGCAAGTTATTTAAAGAAAATATTTTTAGCATGTAAGAATTTTGGTGGGGAAATAATTATGATTTAATGACACAACTAATTAACCTATAGATGGGGGAGAAGAGATACGTTCATGCCTTTCCAAAGGATATTTACATATAAGTGAATATAAGCGAACCCAACTGGAAGGGAAACTTAGCTTTCCGATTCCCAATTCTGAACCGTTATCCATTACACTATCCAAACATTCAAGCTTACAGCACCTGGTATTCCCATGGTTACCCATCTAAGTATTGACCAGGTTAGACGTTGCTTAACTTCGCTGATCGCATGGAAATCGGCGTTTCAACGTGATGTGACCATAAACCCCTTATACTAACCGCACATCCAAGCTTACAGGCATTACCTGATATTCCCAAGCGGTTACTGACTTACCTTAATGTTGCTAACTTCGGTGATCAACGTAAGCCGCCGAAACGATATGATAATATCAACAATAATGAGAACATTAGTATTCTAAGTGATGTAAATAATGATAATTCATCATCTTATAGATTTAGACAGAAATTTAGTTTTCGGCTTTGATCTTTTGATTTTCGTAATTATATAGTTATTAAGTGTGATACTATTTGTCGTTGCCGTGGTAAAACGGAAGAAAGTTTTGTTAAAAATAAGAAAAGTTTTATGTACCGAGAGACATTGAAAGGAGAATGGTTAATACCAAAAACTCGTGTGAAGAATTGAGGATTTAATTCACACATAAACGACTTGAATTGTATCTCGAGCAGTTTGAACAATGGAAAAGTGACTCAGACTTAAGGAGCAATGTTCACTGACACACAGCTGCAAATGCAGGATGGAAAGCGAAAAAGTAGATTTTGTAAACAACTGAATTTGAAGTGAGTTTTCTTAGACGGAAAATAGTCGAGGTCGCAGGCACAGATATGACATCAAGGAGGATGGAGGAAACACTCACGCTCAATGAAAAGGTTGGTGAGAGAGGATAATAAAAGAGAGGGTAGAGAGGGGGAATTCCCCAGAGTTATGACGTAAACCAGAGGGGGTTCACCGAAATGCCCCTACCTCGCCATACCCCCATGCCAGTTTGGGCGAATGCGCATAAATACGAATGCGCGAAGCGAATTCAATAGACGAGAGATAAGGCAGTAGAGACGGAGATAAGGCCAGAGACAGGCGAGAGGCCTACGTGATTATCTGCCTCCGACTTTACAAAGTCAACAACGATGATACCACTTCCGGTTTAGACGCGTTTGGGGCTGATAATTATTGCATGTGAACTCTGATATATCCAATTATTGTACGAAAGACTGAGATAAACAGCATTTACTTTTTGTTCAATTTATTCGAGTGTTGTTTTTTTTCCTGTGAGTTTTCGCCTTGCTTGAACCAGCCTATCATGAAGATACCTGCGACAATTCGATCTTGGCTGCCGTCTGATCAAATTTTAAACACAAACACAACCTGGGATGGAGCAGGTCTGAGATCGAAGCGATCTACATCGATCAGACGCGGTGTTGGAAGTCTTGGACGGTCGGGGAGGGTGTTGCACGATTACAAAGTAACTATATTTTCTTAGTCCCGGTTTGATTTAGATGTCGCAGAAAATAATAGAAAGAAGATAGAGTTAAAAAGATAGAGTTATTTCAGTCAAGAAATATTAAATTGGTACGACAAAGAAACCGAGAAAAATGCTATTGACATATTCTACAAAAATCAAATGCACCACCACAACAAAAAGGACAAAATAATAATAGAAATAATGTATACACTAGTATACACTAATAGAAATAATGTATACACTAAAAAACACAAAGTCTGAGGTTACGATGCATTTCTTAAAAACACACCTTAAAATGAGATATTTTCGAATATTTTTTAAGTAAAAGATAAAATTTCAGTGGCTGCAGTGTATAGGCTTTTATTTTTCAGTCTTTACCCAGGCTCCTCTTACAAGCAAAATCTTCAAATTTTCATTCGGTGGCTACATTTTGTTAAATCATGAATATTTTGGATGAGAAACATATTTTTTTTTCTTTTTACCATTAATCCCTCAGTAAGCATTCTGAGATTACCAAAAGGGCTGCACATTTGATTCAGGTCAAGGGAATCATGATAAAAGAACAATGTCATTCGTTTTTACAAAGTCATGTTATACCATCTTATTTAACCATAACTGGAAACAAATCACCTTTCTAGAAGATCTAAAACATTTTTCTAAATTATGTCAAATTAACCTCAAGTCACCCCCACAAAAAAAACGGAAAATAAAATTAAAAATTATAACTTGGTCGTCTCAGTCTTCTAACAACTCTCCAATTGAATTAGTATGGAATGAATTGGATAGGAGAGTTCGAAGAGAATATCCAAAGAGTGAGAGTGAGCTTTTTCAGTGCTTGAAGAATTCTTGGAAAGGTCTGCCATTAATTTTTTTCAAAAACTGTCGAAAATAATGCCTAGAATTTGTAAAGCAGTAATTAAGGTAGGTGGTAGTTTGATTGACGAAAGCAAAATTTCTTATATAATTCTTTTTCTATTATTTACACTATATTGTTCGGACTGTTACCCTCAAATTCGTTGTCAGGACGTTTCGGCCGTTTTACACTTTGTCAGATGATTAGAATTTTAAAATGAACTCTTTATTACGTCACAAGGGTAGATTGTCCTAGTTACACGTGGCGTGCCTCTTCAGAATTTCTCAGTATCAGTTTTCCCCCTCTTCCAAGTTTTTGTTCACCTCTGCTGTATCCAGGTATTGAACTCACAACTCTTTATTTTCTATCAGAGCTCATATTACAATTTTGTTATCTTTTCTCTAGCACTTCATATTACTGTTTCCCATATTGTATTCATTCCTATGATTGGCCGGCTTAGGAGATTTTTGTGACCTAGTATATACGCTGATGCCTTAAGTTTTCGTATGAAGATAGCAACAAAAAATCACAGATGGACAGCATCAAAATCCTCAGGTCTTCAGGTGGTATAGCATGTCTTTGCAAAACGTGTTTGATAATCGCAAAACGTCTACTGGGGAGGGAGTTAATTGTGAAAAAATATAATATTTCACATACAGAATTTTGATAATTTAGCAAAATGTATTGTGGACAGATAAATCCAAATTTGAACTTTTTGCTTGTTAAAGGTGCCTAGATAAAGACTGAAAAAATAAAAGCAAATACACTATAGTTACTGAAATTTTATCTTTTACTTTAAAAAATACAAAAAAAAAATCTCATGTAGTGTGGCTCCCAACGTTTTTCCTGCAGTGTAGATATATTACACGTGTTAATAGAAATACGCATATAAGATTTATTATTTATTGTAAGATATACAAAAGCAGTAATCAGCCATCAAATAATAATATTTCTCACCCCTAACAGAAGAATATTGTTTTATATATATATATATATATATATATATATATATATATATATATATATAATTAATATTTAATAAAAAAAAATTTATAACATAAATATGTTATAAAATCACTACAAAAATAGCCATTTTGTTTCAACACCCTCGGTGTCTTATCAAGTGATGATGTTGAAGATAAAATAAATGGTTTTAAAAGTTTAAAATTAATTAACGATCCTTTGCTAGGGGGAAACATTGTTACAAAAGCTAGAATGACCAATCAAAACCCAAGTATAGGAAGATTCAAAAGCTTGACAACGAAATGTTATAATAGCTATTCAGATCTTTAAAATACGGGTAATATTAAAAATAGTTTATTCTAACCAATAATTATTAAATTATATGATAAAATTTGATATTAAAATTAAAAACTGCCAATTTTAAAATCCAAATTTAATCACTATTAAGTTTAAAAGCTATAAAATTACTGAGGAGAAAAGAAAAAATACATGTGTTATTCAATTTATTTCTTCGTTGAAATTACTGTCGAGTAATATATATATATTACAATAATGTTCACTTTCCTCAAGGCTTGAGGTAGATATTTACGATAAGGTGTAGTTTATATGAAGAAGATAATGGTTTCACAGAGCATTGGTTCGCTGTTCGAGTGGAACCACTGCTGAAATACGGGGAAAACGTGTAAGTGGCATGGCGGGTCCTTACCGTGAAAGTTAGATATGGCGGAACCAAGGAATGTAGTTCATCCGAGCCCTTTCTATGGAAGTAACGATAGAGCAGTGAGAGGCTCGCCACATTCCACCTGTGATAGAGAGATTGTAAGGTCGAAAATAATATCAATTACACTTTCACAAAGCTTTATATGCATTTCGTCAGAACAAAGTGTCATTAAGCAACACATTTGGAAGAACGATAAAAACTGTAATAAATTTAAGCAGCACCTCGCTAACAATATTAAAATCATACTTATTATAAACCCAGTTGTGTGTGTGTGTGTGTGTGTTCGTTTATATATTGGATCGGATTTCCTACATTTTTCAACCGATTTCAACAAAACTTCACAGGACTACGTAAAATTACCTTGCGGTGGTTCTGACAGATTGGAAAAACACAATTGTTTTTGCACGAAATCAATTTAAAAACACGATTCAGAGGCATCGCGAGAATGAAAGGGGGACAACTCATATCGAGTTATACTTATTATAAAACCAAGGTTGTTTGTGTTTTTTTTTGTGTGTGTGTGTTCGTTTATATATGGGATCGGTTTTTTTCAACCGATTTCAACAAAACTTCACTTTTTTGGTAGGTAGTGTTTCTTATTGTCTTGCACACTTTATTTTTACATTCAGAATGCTTTAAAAATTCCATTTACAAGACAATTGTTTATAATAAAATTCTATTCAATCGGTGGACTCATAACGATTGAAAACAATATTTTTGTTTGAGTTTGACCAATTCGTTAAAAAAAAAAAAAACTAATTAAGACATGCGTGTCCGTCAACATTAAACAATAATCTTTGTCAATTTTATTTTTCAGTCTTTATGATGGTTGATACTTGATCTATCTCTTACTGTAACATCCCCGGGCAACGCCGGGCTCTATCGCTAGTACTTTATAAATCCAATAGCAAAAAAAGTACAAATTTTTAAAGATATTTAGAACCAGCAAAAGCAACGAGGCATTAATGAAAATAAACCCCGTCTCCAATCCCATAGTGTTCAATGCATATAAGAAATAAATACGTGACGGATACATGTTACCAGTGCTCCGTTGTTTATAAAATGGTCTACATCTTGATGTATAATGATAATTAATGAGCGACTTAAAACACTTCTGGTTTTTTGTTTCTTCACTTTACATTTTTCTTATAGCGTCCTGAAGATGACTCTTTCGAGTTGAAAGCTTGAACACAACCTTTATGTTGGATACTTTTTGCATCTGCAGTGACCAAGACAGCGGAAGGTTAT